AGCACCTGGGCTCCTTGCCCAAAGGGTCCTGTGTACTGTTATGGGGGATACTTCCCTAAGTCATCATAGTAATTCCTTAAAATATGGAAACCCTACCTTCTACTATATCGGCACATAGGACCCCTTGGGAAAGCACCTGGGTTCTTTGTATAGCCGGCCTTTTGCGGAACTTACGGGGGGGGGCAGCGATGTAGGCTCCTGCGGTAGCCCTAACTCCAAGCACCTCTGCACCCTACCCCTATGGAAGAGTTCATATACCAGAGCGGGGTGAATCTATCCATAGAATAGTATAGTGCGTATGAGGTTTAAGGCTTAGGGTTTGGGCTCAGGGTTTAGGGCATTGGTGCTTGATGAAGCACCTCTCTCGGAACTTCCTTATACTTGCAGCAGGCATATACAGTGTACAGATACATCGGCCCTTACCCAAAGGGGTCCTATGTACTGACATAGTAGAATGTAGGGTTTCCATATTAGGAACTACTATTATGACTTAGGGAAGTATCCCGCATAACAGTACATAGGACCCTTTGGGTTAGGGTAAACCTCTCACAACCTACTCTGCTTATCTCCGGGTTCCAAATACTCGAAAGGAGAATCCTGCTCAGGGTGGTATAGGCTTCAACATGGGTGGTTGTCAAAATTAGGGTCCCTTTTTGGGTACCCGACATATTAGGTGCCGTATTATAATAAGGACCCCAAAAGGGACCATAACTTTGACAACCACCCACATAGCCTCGAAGGACTCTACATGGGTTTTAGAGGTGTTGTATACGGCTTTAGAACGGTTCCCGTTGGACGAGGTTTCTGAGTAGCCCCTTTGTTCTAAGGGTACCCGTTTGCTACTGTTCTGTTTTAATAAGGGGACCCTAAAACAGCAGGGGCCAAAACGTTGCTACTCAGTACTACTCAGGAGCCGAGTGGACCCCAAACCCGTAGATGCCTTATCCCAAAAGGGTCCTGTGCACCGATATAGCAGAATGTAGGGTTTCCATACTAGGAATTACCATTATGACTTAGGGAAGTATCCCCCCATAACAGTACATACGACCCTTTGGGTATAGAACCCCTTAAGGCACCCTTGAAAGGAGTCCCTTTAGGATGCTCCTCAGCAACCTAATAGACCCTCAACCCCTATATATCCCTATAGATCCTAAGGCCTACACCATAAGCCCTTGCAGTAGGTAACCTAGTAGAGGGAACTACTGCATGCGCAAATATGCAGGGGCTTGCAATTTAGCGGGGCTGAGGGTCATGATTTAGGGATCTAGGGATTTAGGGTGTAAGGTTCAGGATTTAGGGTTTAGGGTTTACGGATCTTTAGTTGTTCTGGTTTTAGGGTTTAAGGCTTCGAGGCTTATAGACCAGCGTGGGGCTGAGCGATACTCGGGGCGCAAGGAACGCCCTGGACATTCGAGACGGCATAAGTATGAGGCACCCGTCGGGTTTAGGGCCTAGGTTTAACCTTCAACTGCCCAAACCGACTTTTTTTGTGTGCATCATTTTCTGAACTCTCTTCGGCGATTTCGTGTGGTCTCCTTTGTAATTCCTTTTTGGACCACCAAAATCTCTATTTTGGGATCCTAACCATAAAACTGGCTAACTAAAAAGGAACTACAATGGAGACTATAGGTATAAGCCCTCCTGCGTCATTTAGGGTCCAGGTAGCATCGTCTGGATATTTGGGTCCCCCTGCTCAGCACCCTTTCGGGACTCGAGCCTGGACCGGGGCCAGACGTGGTGTGTCAGGCCAACTGGTTTAGAGTTTAGGGCTTAGGGTTTAGGGGTTTAGGGTTTAGGGTGTTGCGGCATTGTATATAGTCTTGCTTCAAGTCTGTTGCGCAGCTTAAGAATTCAGGCCTGCATCGCTGATCCAGACCGCTATGTCCGCTACGTGGTCTTCTAGACCCAAGAGTAACCTGGGAATAAAAAGGGTGCCCTTTTTGGTTTAAAGGGGGTTATAAGGGAACCTATAACCCTAAAAAGGGGAATAAGGGCAAACTCTGGGTGCTAGTCTTTCCTGATCGCAAGCACCCTGGATCTTGAGAAACTCTGATTCACGGTTGCTTTGAGTTCTCTTTAACCCGTAAGGGCTCGACTCCCGCTGCCTTCGTAAACTTGGCAAACCCAAATGGGGGTTTCCGAAAATAGGGGACCCTACCACAGTACCCTAGATAATAGGATCCTTATTATAAGGACCCCAAAATAAGGTACCCCTAACGTTCGGAAACTCCAAAATCCCACCAAGAGCTCCGAATCACAAGCGTGGCCTTAGCACTTCTTCAACTGCATGGCCACGGGAAATGAATGACTAGACTAGGGTCTTGAGGTATATCGTGATAGCATGATTACGCAGGGACCATGAGTAACGTAGTACATACGGACTATCAGGGGATGTTTTGTTAACCATTCAGGCCGTCATATTCGGATATCGGGGGTGCCACAACCCTAAACCCTTGCAGGAGTTTTGGGTTCAAGCTCCCGGGCTTCTGGATAAGGGTTTACTGCGAAGTCTGCAGGGGTTGGGGCAGAAGTCTGAGTATGAACAAAACATTAGGCGCTCGACTCATATTATAAGCCGGAGGACTGCCTAATTCTCTGACAGACCTACTACAGGGGCGTCCGGGTTTAGGGTTTAGGGTAGGGTTTGGGGTTTAGGGTTTGGCGTTTCAGGGTTTAGGGTCGAGGGTAGGGCTGAGGGTTTAACGACTCCTGACAGACCTTCGGTAGAGGGCCCGAACTCAGCCATTTCAAAAATGGCTTGTATTGGCTTGTGTAGAGAAATGCAGACCTTCAATCGCTAAGTGCAAAGTACGTATGAGTGACCCGGTAGAACAGAGCTGTGGGGTATCTACTGGCATCACTCTATTGAAGTAAACCAAGGAGTAGTAGTAGTAGTAGTAGTAGTAGTAGTAGTAGTAGTAGTAGTAGTAGTAGTAGTAGTAGTAGTAGTAGTAGTAGTAGTAGTAGTAGTAGTACTAGTAGAAGTAGTAGTAGTAGTAGTAGAAGTAGTAGAAGAAGTAGCAGTAGCAGTAGCAGTAGCAGTAGCAGTAGCAGTAGCAGTAGCAGTAGCAGTAGTAGTAGTAGTAGTAGTAGTAGTAGCAGTAGTAGCAGTAGTAGCAGTAGTAGCAGTAGTAGCAGTAGTAGTAGTAGTAGTAGTAGTAGTAGTAGTAGTAGAGTAGTAGTAGTAGTAGTAGTAGTAGTAGTAGGAGTAGTGGTAGGTATTTGGGCTTTTCTATTGCCCAAAGGGTCCAATGTGCCGATATAGTAGAATGTAGGGCTTCAATATTCGGAATTACTATTGTGACTTAGGGAAGTATCCCCACATAACAGTACATAGGACTCTTTGGGTTAAGCTGCATGCCTCAACTATCGAGGTCCCAAGCCCTCATGTGGAAGACCTGCACCTCCCTTAGCCATAATCTGTTATGTGACAGCTGCGTGCACCCTTCTTTTCGAATCTGCGTGGATTTCGAAGTTGACTAAGCAGATAGATGGGCACAGTGAAAGGCCTAGAACATGTAGCAAACATACTCACTCTTCACGGCCCCAGAAAGCCCAAAGCCCGAAGCCAAAAACCCTACAATCGGAACCCGTACTATAGTGGCCTATACAAATACTTACCAATACTATTTGGGGTTCCTTATTATAATTATAGTATAATGGACTCCAAAACCCTGTTCTAATTCTTAAGTCCCCTATGTTACATCAGGATCCTTGTGACCCTGTCTCATAGAGGGGCTGTTTTTCGTTGCAGTGTCGGGGATTTCTCGTTGCCAGTAGCCAGACTCCCTAAGCCAAATCCCTGAACCCCAAACATCAAACCTAAAACCTTACGCTATGAGGTCACGACTTGGGAGTTTCCGAAAACAGGGGACCCCAATAGAGTACCCTAAATAGTAGGATCCTTATTATAAGGACCCCAAGATAAGGTACCCGGTACCCCCAATTTTCGGAAACTTCCACTTTTGGGGACGCAGAAGTCTTTGTGTTCTGATCTTGGGAGGATGCACGCAGGTGGCTGCATATAAGTAGCTAAAAAAGCCTAAGACATGAGCGCAGTCAGCGGCCACCCTAAGGGTCCATGTACGTAACTACTAATCATACACTCTCCACAATACCAAGCCACGGTTGCTACTCTCCAACACCCACGCGTCTAGTTGTTGAGTACCGTGGACGTGGACCCACAAGGATCTACGATTCCGCAGAAACCTTCATGGTTTCATCACGAGGGCCGGAAAATCTGACCACGTTAGCAAATCTCGTCAGCTGTACTGCAAAGCAGGCTGAGGTGTGCCAACCATCGAAACGCGATTCGGAACTTCGTCCACTCCGAACACCCCATCACAATCTCTGCCTGGCATAACCACCCCTACGACCGCGGGTGATAACCTGTTTTCTGGTTAAGATCAGATTTACAGGAAATAAAACCCCAGAAGGGGCACGTGTTTATATATACATATATACTAACTACTGGTATGGAACTAGCTCCCCAACACCATAAAAAATGGTCTGTTTGGGAAAGATTACCACAAAAAGCCTTTACAATAAACTACCTACATAAGTCCAACCGACGTGTAGAGACCGACGGGAACAACACCCTTTTGCGTGAGGGCTTGGGGGGGTCTTCGCTTTGCGTTTAGGGTTTATACAGAATTGCGATTGTGTGGGGTTCCTTGTCGCGTAACTGCTGTACAGGTCTGCAAGCACTCAACAGCGGACGACTACCTTCGCGCACAAGAGTCGGGGCAAAACGGTGCTTCTCAGAGCCGCGACAGTATACTATAGGGGCCTCAATACTGAGAGCAGGGTTTTAGGCCCATTATACTGTAAGTATAAACCCCAAAGTATATTTAAGCTGCTGCAGTATGAAAAGAAAGGCTCTCGGACCTAGATTTTTTTAAAAAAAAGGCGCCGGATTCAAGCTAGTCTGGAGCGACACCTCGCTTTGAGGACTGCGCTTTCATCATGCTTGAGCCGTTTTGGAAAATGCGATTGCGGCATCAACGACGGCAAAAGGCTGACTGACAGACCTTCAGCCCACCGCTGGCCAGCCATGCTATCATACCGGCTGCGGCACACCATGTGAGTGATGCGGCCGCACTGTCTTTGTACGCCCAACGTCCGATGTAGACTCCGCAGAAGATGAACGCCAAGTACACGGCGTAGAGCACCGCAGACCTTCGCGGTACTCACATTCACCACATGCGTCTATACTCGCAAGGTGTTTAGACTGACGGCAAAACCCTGAAACTTTCGCGCATTCTGGGGGGGTGTCCCTGAAACAACAAAACACAGGAAAGCCAGGCTTTAGGACCCCTGCGCCCCACATCTGCAAACCGCACTCCCACACCAAGAAACCGAAACCGTGGACTCTGTACCCGGAACCAAGAGACTGTGCCAGTCCCCATATGAAGCTTTTTGGCAGTGGGAACCGGCCAGCCAGAAACATCGCGAACCTGGCTTCACAGCTCTGTGTCTCTGTCTCTCAATCTCTCTCTCCCTTTCTCTCTGTTTTGTTTATGTCTATGTCGGGGCTTCTGTCCCTTGGTGTGTGCGGTTGTGCGTGTTTTGGTGTTGGGCTTCGTGTAGTGGTTGCTGTTTAGCGGTTTAGCGTGGCACGGGCCTAGCCCAAAGGGTCCTATGTATCGATTTAGTAGATTTTAGGGTTTCCATATTTGGACTTACTATTATGATTTAGGGACATATCCCCCATAACAGTACATAGGACCCTTTGGGTAGGCTTGACGGTGTCCCCAACACCAACACCCCGGAAGAGTGTCACCACGGCTTAAAGGGTTGCAGAAGGTCAGCACTATCTATGTCTATATACATGTACCTATGTGCAGCTGAATTATACGATAAAATATGATATGGTCGGCTAATGTATGATATGACACGATATGTCATAGTACGGAAAGTAGACGGTCTCATATGATATGACATGGTATGTTATGGAATTTTATGATGCCAAGCTACGGCATCGTATAAGATGACACCGTCCCGTATGATGTGCTTTGGTATGGCATGACTTGTTGCGTCTTGATATGGTAACCTTGGGCATGGCATGATATGGTATAATGACATAATATATACACAAAGATAGATAGATAGCTAGCTAGATAGATAGATGGATAGATCGATAAGGTATGTAAGTATATACATATGTACACACATCTAGATGAACACATACATACATGTTTGTGACTATATGCTGAAGCCTATTTATGCATATCTATGACCATCTGTAGGTGTGCATATGTATATATATACACATTATACTATATACACATGTGTGGTTAGTACAGGAGCTTATCCTATGGGGCCACACACGCGGAGAAACTATATTCTCGCGACGACTTGCGCCTCCTCAACTGACTCAAACTCATGCGCTGAACCAAAGTTTGGCAAACTAAGTAAAACCAAGATGCCGTTTTGAACACTTCATGCAAGCAGGTACACCTACACCCTGCAACCCTAAACCCTAAAACCTGAAAATCCGTCGAACCTGAGTCGTAAGCCCTGACTCAAGCCTTTCGTGTCACTCGAAGCTGCACAAACTTGATGCTTCTGGGGCTTAGGGTATGGGGGGGGGTTCTACCGCTACGGGTAGGGTTTAGGATCCAGGGCCCCGAGTTTGCATTGGAGCCAGAGTCTACACTGGAACTTGCAATGCGCAAGCCTCTAAATCTCTACAGTAGAACGACAAAAGACCCAAACCTCAAACCCCTAGTCCCCACTTCCAAACCCTTCGCAGACATGGTAATGTAGGGGGCTTAATTATTAGAATAGGGTGTTGGGGCCCTTTTTTGTATAATTAAAATAAGGAGCCCCCAAAATAAAGAACCCTCTTGTAGATCCCTTATAAGACCCCTTTAAGGATCCTTTTAAAGGGAACTCTAGGTAGTTATTTGGGCCCCTATCGTAGGACTAAAGAAAGCCGAGCAGTTCCTAGGCTGCCGAGCAGCTGCACACCGACGATCCACCATAGACCAAAGAGTCCAAGGCTCACCCCGGAGCCTTCGAGTTTAGGGTTTAGAAGTTTGGGGTTTAGGATTTTGAAGTTTGGGGTTTAGGGTTTTGAAGTTTAGTGTTTAGGGTATTGAAGTTTAGGGTTTAGGATTTAGAAGTTTAGGGTGAAGGGTTTAGAAGTTTAGGGCTTAGGGTTTAGGGATATCCTTCGTCCTGCTACTTAGTGTTCAGCTTTGATAATCAAACTCGTAAATACAGCAAAGAAGTACAACTGAGAAGTCTAGCAGCCTAAGGAGGAGTACTGAGGAGACCCCTCAACCGACCCCTAAACCCTAAACCCAAAACAAAAAAGGGCAAAAAGGGTGCTATTGTAAGAGACCTAGCAGCCGTAGGACACCAAATTGTGAATGGGAGCCCCTCCTCGTACTTGGGCTGACAAAGCGTCCATTCCTGGTCTACTTGGAAGCGGTTTTGGGTAGTTGTAAGTGGGCGGTTACAACTAGTGTTCCGTTGAGGGTTCTTTAGGGTTAAAGGTTATCCAAGCGTCCTTTCCTGGTTTAAGGTTTACATCGTCACATGTAGCCCACCAAACCTACAGTTGCCTGGCTCCTAAATCTAAAAACCCCGGGGCCGCATACATAAATATTTAATACGTATATATATATATATATATATGTATGTATGCATCCATAAATGTGCATTTTGACATTGAAGCTCTTTTCTGAGTAGGCCGAAACAGGTAGTGGCTAAGCCTTCCCTTATCGGAGCACAAGCCTACATCATAAGGCCCTTCACCTCAAAGCACAAACAATGCTCATTGCGGCGGCTTACCTAGCGTCATCATTGGGGTCGCGATCAGCAGAGCATAGTTCCACGGAAGGCCAGTGCCCAAGTGATTCGCCAGCAGTTCGTCACGAAGAGGCCCTCGAACATGGCGTGTGAAGGCGTCTAGGCTTCCTCCAGCATTCAAGATCCGACACTCATTAAAGGTCTGCTTGGATTTGAGGGTCCCTTCTTAGACGTTCTCTTCGGAGAACATATTAAAGGCAGATCCATGTGCCTAGATAGGGGTTGGGGTTTAGGGTAAATAGGGCCGTAAATGGTGCCCGATTGGGATTTTTGGACACTGCTGGGCGTTTTGGAGAAAATGTCACGCTGACTAACGCATCACTTCCATTTCCACAATGCCACAAGGTCAGCGGTAGCCTGTAGTAACCCTTGCTGTAAACCTCATAGCAACCCGTAGTAGTATGGTCTGCCCGACGACAGGTCAAGAAGCCACCTCTTCCTGCTTGGAATGAAAACCTCCTACACCCCAAACATCTTCAACGCCCGATCCCTAAGGCTCTAAGGACTCATATTTTAAGGCTGTTGGGCCTAAGACCATCCTATATATGGCTGTTGGGCCATTTAGGGTTCACAAGGGGTACCCTTTATAGGGTCTCTCAAAAAATACTACCTATAAGGCCCAAAACCCTCAAGCCCTTCATGTCGAGCTACACAACCCTCAATTAAACCTTAAAGCCTACACACCCCCAAGCCCTGACTGTGCCGAGCTAGCTACACAACCCTGAAACCGCGTGGCTACTAAACCTTAAAACCGTGACTGTCGAGCTGCCCAAAAGTCCCAAACCCTAAACCCTGACTGGCGAGCTACCCTAAACCCCTAAACCTGAACTCCCTACGAAAACCCAAAAGCACGCACCGCCGAGCTACCGTACCACTTCTCGATGGCGGCGTAGATGAACTCCTGGTCGCTGGCTTTCCGACATCCCGCGGCCGAGAGCTCAAAGGTGGCCAGGTCGTAGAAGACCTGGCTTCTGAGAAGGGCCTAGGGTCCCAAAAGGGTCCAAAGCACCTACATAGTAGAATGGAGGGTTTTTATATTAAGAATTACTATTATGGTTTGGGGCCTAGGTTCCTTTGGGGGTTCTATTGGAAGACTGATCAGAGGAGACCTGGCTTAATCTAGACGCCTTGTGCATGGACCTCCCTCCCGACTATGGTACAACCACTCTCCGAATCAGACATGTACCTGTTCTGAGACTGCTAGAGGTCGGAGACGAAAGGGAAGACTCTTCCTTTAAATTTTGCTAAATGTAATTATCCTTCCATATACCCCCAAGCCCTGTTAAAATGATTGAAGCCCCTGCATTGCAGTACACGCACCCAGCTTACAGTTCAGGCCCCTATCTCAAGACACAGTATCCAAAATCCGAACATGCTGTCCCTACAGTAGATGGCATTCTTTCCACTCCAGCCTTGCACGACACAACGCTACAGTACCCTACATCACATTACATTATGCTACATTACAGCGCATCACTACTTTACCTTACCCTACCTACCTTCCCGTACCTTACATTGCATAACATTACAGCACGGTATATTGCAGTGCATTGCAGTACGTGGCAATCCGTTGCATTGCAGGATACACTACGTGGCCTTATGTTACATTCATTCGGTTGCGTTACATTACCTTGATCTGAAGAATGGCATCATGGCATGACCTGCCGTGCCATGACGTGGCGTTCGCATACGTTCTATTACCTTAACATGTACATGTACAGGCACATGCTTTCTTAATGCGCTACACTATTACATACACATACAAAACGGACAGACAACGAAAGCGGATTAACTACTTCATCTGCTCCGCTGTTTCTACATGTATACCTTTGCATTCGCATCCACGCATACACATTTACGTACAGACATACGTAAATCCATACTATACATCCTTCACACCCATTATAATACATACATACGATTACATTAACAGAACACATACAGACTGACCCTAAACCCTAAACCCCCTAAACCCTAAACCCTCTAAACCCTCTAAACCCTGACGGACGGACGGACAGACAGCCAGCAAGGCAGAGAGGCGGAGAGGCAGACAGCCATAGGGGTGGTTGTCAATATTAAGGTCCCTTTTTGGGCACCCTAAATCGTAGGTGCCGTATTGTATTAGGGACGCAAAATAGCTGTCAAAATTAGGGTTCCTTTTTGGTTCCCTACTATGTACCCAAAAAGGGACCTTAATTTTGACAACTACCCATACAGACAACAAACAGACAACAAATGGACGGCCGGACGGACCGACGGGCGGACAGACGGACAGATAGACGGATAGACGGATAGACGGACGCAGACATACAGACGGACACAGACATACATGACCCACATGCCCGTGTTTGCAACTGCAAACAAGAAGCGGCATTTCACATGAGTTGCAACCCTAACCACCCACCCCTGCCGTTTGAAAGCAACGATCGCCAGGCCTGGCGCTTTTGAGACAAGTTCTTCCGGAGAAGGTGGAAGACGACGAAGAAGGGAACCAAGGCAACCAACAAAGTAGTGAGACTCCCCAATCCTCCCAATCGGGTTTGGGTTTCGGCATGGGGTCTCGGGGCTTGAGATTTAAGGTGCATTTCGGGCGTCGGGTTTAGGGCTTTTGCCGTCAGGCTTGTTGGGCCGTTGGGGGAGTTTGCTTCTTTGTTGGGCTCACAATTCCGACATCCGGACAAGAGCCCTTTCACCACCCCCCCCCCTTCCCAAAAAAAAGCGGAGTCCTTCGTCTTATGGGCCTGTTTCTTGCCTGACCCTATCAGATGCTCGGAAAGTTCAGAGCCCGACACGCTCGAGCTTGAAGGTTGAAAACTAGTTCTTGCCACAATACCCATAGGAACAAATCCTTTCGTTTTGAATTTCGTTTTCAGAATACATTCAACGAATCAGACCACGGAATCCTAAACGGTACATCCTAAACTCTGCACCGGATTACGACTCAGGTATGGGAAAGCCAAGATGGACTGCGAAAAGTAGGGTCTGAGTTATTTTCGCTGTGCTTCTAATCAAAGGGGAAAAGGAGGGACCCTTAATGGGGACCCCTACCCTATACTGGATTATAATGGCTATATTAAGGGTATATACTTAGGGGTCCTTATTAAATGAATCCTAAACCCTAAACCCTAAACCCTTTATAGAACCCTTTTTGATCCCTTAAATAAATAGGGGTCCTTATTAAGGGTCCCTCCTATTCCCCTTTGATCTAACTGCCGGGCCGATCGCTGAGGGCCTTGCGGGTTTTTTCGGGCTTGGGACTTTTCCTAGACCCAAGAATAACCTAGGAATAAAAAGGGTACTATAAGGGCTCCTTTAAGGGATCCATAGGGGTTTAGGGTTTAGGGACCTAAGAGTAACATAGGAATAAAAAGGGTGCCCTTTTTGGTTTAAAGGGGCTTATAAGGGCACCTGAACCCTCAAAAAAGGGAATAAGGGCCTACTCTGGGTCCTAGTTTCTGGTCTTGGGCACTCAGGGCCTTCGTGGTTTAGGGTTTTGGGTCTAGAGGTTTACCAGCATTCCTACAGATTGCCTCGCCAAAGCCTTTTAGGTCATCTGAACAGTGGGTGTTTAGATGTGTTTCGGATTTCGGCCAGGCAAAAGGCAATTAGATGTCTGCGGAAACCGAGCAAAAACCGTAAATCCTAAACCCCTGAACCCCAGACCCAAAACTCCCTAACCCTTGACCCAAAACCCTGAACCCCCTAACCCTTAACCCTAAGCCCCAGGCCCAACCCTAAACCCTAAACCCTGAACCCCCTAACCCTTAATCCTAAACCCCAAACCCAGAGACTCCAATATCCCTTAATGAAGGAATATTCCTTAAATCATATTAGGGATCCTACTATAATTTAAGGTATATTCCTTAATTAAGGGATATTGGAGTCTCTGGGAACCCTGGCATGCAATGCTTAACACCGGAAATCCCTGCAGCTGCCTAGGGTAGCGATCACGAGTACATAGATGACAAGGCCCACTGTGGCACCCAGCCAGACAGAGGCTACCGCGGTTTCCACGAACCTTGACGAATTTTAGGGTTTGGGGGTTCGGGCTTAGGGTTGACGGCTTCGCGGCTTGTTCGACTAGATGTTCAATCAGCTGCTCACAAACCATGGCTCCCACAACTCAACTTTACTAGGCAAGCACCGGAACAAAGCTAGAGTCATAAATGGGAACAGGTTGGGGCCGTAGTCGGGCTAAGATTGCGGGTAAAATGTAAAAGGACACATTGGTATTCAGTTAATGTGCGTCATGTGCGTACGCATATAGCATGCTGAAATGTTGCTCGACAACGATGAATTATCACGCAAAGGCTGCCTAAGAGACACTCTGCCGTTGCTTGCGACACCCTAAGGGTCCATGTACTCATCTAGTATATACATTGGCCTTAATGTAGTTCCTATATAGGTACTTTGGGGCCCATGTATCTCTGTGTGGATACATGGAACCTTAGGGACAGTCATTGCAACCACGCATCGGAAAAATCGCGAAGGCTTGCTCTCTTACATCCGCTCTGATCTGCACACTGCATACTACGGTCTGGACCTGTCACAGTGCTTCCGCGCCCCTTACACCCTGAACGTGAAACCTTGGACCCTGAAGGACTTAACCATCTTTAGCCTCAAAATATGGGAGTTTCCGAACATTAGTTACGGGTACCTTATGTTGGGGTCCTTATAATAAGGAGCCTACTATTTAGGACACTATACTAAGGCCACCGATTTTCGGAAACTCCCAAAATATGATCAACGCGTCCAAGGGGCAAAGGAGCGAAGCGGATCCTGCGCTGCGGACTTGGGCTTGAGGGTGCTTGGGTTTAGGGTTGAACTTGAAGGTGTTGGGATTCGGAAAAAAGCTTAGGTTGTTGTGTTCATGTGTGCTTTGCGGGTTGCTGTGTAGCCTGTTTGGATCCGTAGCTACGAAAACCACCATTGGAAACCATTGTTGGGAAAGGTCAGCCCGGATTGGGGACGAGGCATCTATCGGTTTAGGGTTTAATTCAGGGTTTAGGGTTCCCTAAGGGTCCAAGTACCCAAATAGTAGGGTTTCAGGCTCCAAAAACCATTCAGAGTATGGATTTTGGGGCCTAACACCCTACTATTTGGGTACTTGGACCCTCTGGGTTTTTTTTTAGGGTTTAGGGTGTAGGGGCGTCCATGCCTCGAACCCTCAGTCCCGGAATCCTAACCCTGAAAAGCACTCCAAGGGTAAAAGGAGGGACCCTTAATTAATAAGGACCCCTAGGTATATACCCTTAATATAGCTATTATATACCCATTATATAATATATAGCCCATTATAGGGTAGGGGTCCCCATTAAGGGTCCCTCCTTTTCCCCTTTGAAGCACTTGAACCCCAAACCCAACATGTGTCAAGGTCTGTTCCTACACCGGCCGGCCTCAGTACTCCGTTTAGGGTTAAGGGTTTAGGGTTTAGAGTTTGGGGTTTAGGTTCAGGGTTTAGGGCTATCTCAAACGGTCCTATGTACTGTTAAGGGGGATACTTTCCTAAGTCATAATGGTCGTTCCTGATATGGAAACCCGGTACTTTGGAACCTTTGGGTATTAACGCTGCCACTAGAATGTGACCCGGGTTAAGATGTCACATCATTTACCAACATGAACTCTTGCGGAAAATGTAACAAAGTTCCTTATCAACCCATACTGTACCCCATGTAGAATCGTTAGCACCCATGGTTCCCCAAACCCTTCCCAAAGGGTCCTATGTACCGATATAGTAGAATGTAGGGATTCCATATTAGGAATTATATACTATACTATTATGAGTTAGGGAAGTATCCCCCATAACAGTACATGCATAGGACCCTTGGGCTTGTTACACAAGATCTGGGTTCCTGCAAAATGAAAGTGGATTTGGGGGTTCAAGGCCAGCATGTCCCGGAAACAGTCCTGCCGGACGGATTGGCCTTTCGAAATGCAGCCAATTCGAAGACACACCACAACCTGTATGGCTCAGGGTTTAAGGTTTGGGCTTTAAGGCTTAAGGTTTAGGGTTGGGGTTTCGTGCGAGCCTGCGGCTCACAGGCAAACGGCAGAGATTGCTGTGGCGTGGCCCGGCGTCCCGGCTTTCAAGTAACTCTTCAATAATGTTCGGGCTCTGATAGTTTGAAACAGGGATTTGAGGTAATTGCTGGCCAAAACAACAATACAAGGACAATAAGGAAATGTTATCGAAACATTCCGACCCGGGCCCCTATATGTTGCCCACCCTCGTCGGAGTGACATTGCAAAACCCTTTCCCAACCTGCTTGAAAACCCGAAAAGACCTGAAGCATAGACAGGCAGCCCCCAGAAATCAAAAAGGCTTTGAGAGCCCCAAACCCTAAAATCCTAAACTTGCCATGAACACTGAACTCAACAACTCCAACACTCTTTACTGAAAGAATGGCCTGGTGAGGTAGGGCGCGGAGTATAGGATCCTCAGCTCCTCCAACTTGTTTCTGCTTAACTTGGCTGACTTCTGAACCCCTCCTAAAAGTAAAACTTCTTAGCCTCATTATTATAGTTCATATGGAAACCCAAAACCCTAAACCCCAAACCCCAAAAGGTATAATCCCTAAGAGCCAACCCAAAGAACGCTAAGGGAAGGTTTCGGCTTTACAGCTCAGGTCGCGACGTTGCAGGATTTCTACACCCTATTCGCACAAAGATGAAGTGGGGAGACCCTGCCACTGTCACATCTGTGGAAATATGTGTATCTATCTATCTATCTATATATATATATATATATGCACATGTCTAGTATGCACATATGGTCAACTGCCCCCCCCCCACCCCCAAAGATCTGCACCCTATCCGTTCCACTCTCTGATTCATGCCACGATGTCTCTCGAACCTCACTACTCCATGTGCAAAAAGTGATGAAAAGGCCAGCGAAACCTGCTTCCCTGTAGAACAGCTGCTTTGCTCATCGCCTGTTTTCATTCTGTCAAACTGTTTGCACAGAACACCAGGCCCTGGTTCAAAAACACTCCAAAGTCGAAGTGGCTATGAACGAACAGAGGCGAGATAATTAGTTATTGGTATGGCTGGAGGGAATGTGTGATACACATCTGCACCGTACAACGTGTACAATACAACATGTTTTTAGAATTCCCAGAGCCCCGGAGGGCTGTACAGCTGGGTTTGGCTAAGGCCACATTTAGGGACAGTACAACACTTTGAAAGCTACTACGACTACTACTACTGCTACTACTACTACTACGACGACGACTACCACGACTAGCACGAAGACTAGTAACTACCATGACTGCTGCGACGACTACTACGACTACTATGACTACTACGATTGCCACTGCCAGTGGCACTGCTACTGCTACTGCTCCTGCTGCTGCTGCTGCTGCTGCTGCTGCTGCCGCGGCTGCTGCTGCTGCTGCTGCTGCCGCTGCTGCTGCTGCTGCTTCTCCTACTGACCTGCTACTGACACTTCTACTGCTTTCGCTACTGCGATCGATACTTCTACTGCTACGGCTGCTGCTACCACTACTGCTTGCTACCAACCACTCAACACTACCTACTATTTACTGTTAGCCACTACCAGTATCTACCGTCTACTACCAGTAGCAACTGTCAACCACGAACATCACTACTAGGGCTACTGCTGCTACGCCTGCTCCTACCCCTTCTGCTCCTGACACTCCTCCTCCTCTTCCTCCTACTACCCTACACCCGAAACCGTAGCCCAACGTCAGCGTGAAGCCTGAAACCGTCTTGCAAAAGGATACTACGGTTGATGATACGATATCCTGCATTACCTTAATCACCCTAGACTTTGGGATACATGGCATATTCCTTATTATGGGAGTTGTGGTATATTCCTTATTCTGGGCATTATGGTATATTCCTTACTGTTGGGTATTGCAGGATTTCTATCACACCCTGAACCCTAGCCCTTAAAGGTACCCTTATAGATCCCTTAAAAGGACCCTAAACCCTACCCACCCTGAACCCTAAACCCCGAAACCCTAATGCAGGATTGACATTGGTATCATCGACCGTAGGAGGCTTGGTCTCCTTGGAGGCGCTCAGGAAGCCACCCAGCCCTTGGCCAGGACTTCAATAGGGTTTAGGGGTTTAGGGGGTTAGGGGTTTAGGGTTTAGGGGTTTAGGGTTTTAAACCCTAAACCCTAAACCCTTAGGGGTTTAGAGGTTTAGGTGGATTTAGGGTTTAGGGTCAGTTTAAGGTTTAGGATGATCCCAGGTTTAGGATCTCAAAACCCTGGAGCCTCATGTGCCTAAGGGCTGTTGGTGGGGCTCCGGGCTTCGAATCGGATCGCTTTGCAGCCTGGTCTAGAGCCTAGGGTAGTTATGAGTATATAGGGATTCCTTGAAGGGCTCCTTTCAGGGTTCTATAGGCCTTTTTTGGATTGGGGGTTTAGGGTAGTTAAAAGTAGGCTTATAAGTCACCTAATATGTGTTATAAGTATAGTTACCCTACTTATAACCCTACTTATATCTAGCCATGAACCTCCAAGTAGGGTTTACGGCCATACTCTCCTTGACGGCATACGCATGGGGACGAAACAGCTCCTGGGCCTTGCACAACCAAGGATCCGTAGATTCCCTGACGCATCATTCCGACGTCTCCTTGGTTAATGCTGACCACGTCGAGGAAGCAGGAATCCTTGTTGTCCCCGATGTCCTGGCAGTCATTGGAAGCCCTGCAAAGAAAGCGTTGATGCTTCGTAACAATGCACTTGACCAAATCAAAGGAACACTGTTTCAAGAAGTGTCAGTTTACGATATTAAACACAGAAGAAATACCTATAGTTTCCATTGTGGTTCCTTTGTTGATATAAAAGCTGTTATATCCAGAAACAAACATATGAAAGGCTACATCGAAAAAAGGAACTACAATGGAGACACTCTAGGTATAGCCTAACGCCTAAACCCAAAAACCTTGCCAACATCCTAAATCCCGCAAGAGTCGAGAACTGAACCCTAAAACCGGACCGAAACCCTAAACCCTTACAGTAGAAGCCAAAAAGTTGGAAACCCAATAGCCTCAATCCTTAAGAGTAATGTATAGGGAATCCCAGCACTATTTGGCCTTAATCGGCTTTCCAACTTTATGGAGTTTAGTGTAAAGGAACCCCAAACCCTTATAGATCCCTTAAAGGGT